TTTAATTTTCCCAGATTCGGACTCGTGTTTTAAAATAAATATTTTAAATTTGTAGAAGGCGCTTCTGTATAAGCTTAATTAAAGCTTTCAATTCAAAGCTTTCCTTTATTACCCAAGTATTATTTTTAAAATAAAAAATGACAAGGTCGAATGAGCGATTTTTCGACCCTCCTATTTTCAGGCGGTTTTGTGTTCTGTGACACATACAGTACAGTATACAGTAACGTATGTTTATTTATTTTTTTTTTTTTGTTTAAAAAAAAAAATTAAATTCTTTAACTGTACGCACCGTACGCATTCGCACCATACCACCGTTTTCCGGAACAGACGTAGTAGTGGCTAGTAATTGCCACTACTTTTTAAGCTTTAATAATATATCTAATTTATGAACAAAATTAATTAAAAATTTAAGTATTTACCAATTCCAGTATAGGCTTTTAATTCTGGCATAATTCACAACATGGCATGTTTTTTTTTGTTTTACTTTTTTTGCATCACCAAAAAACAACTAGGTGAAAAATAGCACAATTTTGAAAAACAAAACAAAAACCGCAAACGGTCTATGTCGAAATTGGAGGATTTTTCCTTGAATAAACGCCCCCACCCTAAATTACTGTAAACGCTCCCCTCCCCACCCGAAATTACTGTAAACAAAACTCGGAAGGCTTACTGAACCGAACATAGATTCAGTAATGAATAGGGATGTTTCGTTCAGTGCATCGAAATTAGAATATATATATATTAGAATATCTGAGACAACTAGTTTCCAAATAATTATGAATCAGACACACAGAAAAGTACAAGAGAACAAAGCAATTTTAGCACAAAACATTTTATTTCTCTACTCCTCAGATAAGCCTTATTTTGTACCACCTCAAAGAAGCAGCCATACATACGATGACGACAACAAGATCACTGCTGCTAATCAGGGCACTGTCGTTTACTGTTTCCTATAAAGGGTTGTCCAACACCACCATGGCAATATCCAACCCATACAAGAATTGCACATACAGAATACTGAATGATTACATACTACTGAACGCTAGCTAAGAAAACCCTGGGTGAAAATGCGAGAGTGCTCATTCTTACACACCACTAAGATCAAAGTCGGCAGTTTCTTTATAGAAAGCTCGCACTGCCATACATAACTGGTTTTTTTCGTCATCACTACAAATTGTAAAAGGAATATTTCAGGGAAAGGGTAAATAGAAGTAAATGTGCACAAATTAGTTAATGGATGTATTTCATAACAGCATGACTTTTAGAGAAATTAAAACAAGTATATAATAGCTAATTAGTGGCATTGATTCAACATTTTATAAAAGAAAAAAAAAAACCGTAAGATAAAATTGCAATACATGCATAATTTGTATCTTCAAGTGGATAAGGGATACACCACTGTACATTATAATATTGACCACAATATGACAGTCATGTTTTAGTGACCAAGGGATCAACTAAGACATAGTGGCTTTATACCAATTTGCCATATAAAACCAGAGAAGAAATACAATGCACGGCCACATGATGGTTGGCCAGATATGACAGATCATCTATAACATATTGTCATATTGCATTACAATGATGGATAATATAATATACCAATTAAACCTACATTGTGACCAACATATGGCCATACATGACAATTAACAACTAAGATATACGGCCAAATGAACATGACCAAATCAACCAGGCTTTTTTTTTTATTACTGTATTTGGATATGTGTAACCATCATAGTATATTTCAATACACTTTTTGGCGCATACTCAGATGGTTGTACAGTATCAACAAAATTTGCCAATTATTGATATAATCATAATTATTACCAAACTGATTTTACAAATGAATACTTTCGATTCGTTGATACCTAAACTAGAAGTTCGTTGCAACATTGTGTTTTTAATCAGTGGCTTTACAGATGCTGGTACCACAAACACAGAAGACCACACCAAAAACAGAATAATTCAAACAAATATCATACTTGTTACCAAATATGGTATAAGTCAAAAGTCACTACAACTTACTTATCCAGTATATTTCTGGCACTATGTTCCTGACCAGTCAGAATGAAACAGTAAATAGGTTAAAATACCAAAAAATAAGCATTAAGATTAACATAACCACCATATTATTCAAATCCATGCTTAATCTTATGTTTCCATCATTAAATTTGGTTGTCAATCAATTGAAATCAATAGACAAATTAACTATAATCCACAAAGCATATAATCCGAAATATGTGGAAAACAAAATTATATCATCATTGTTAAAACCTTATTTTGGATTCATCATTTTGAGATACGTTTTTTTTTTACTTTTTATTTGATGAAAAATTAATTAAGATAGTAGGATATGGTAGCCTCATGAAAGCATATTAGTATTAAAAAGTCAACAATGTGTGTACTTTGTTTTTTAACAGTTTAAACAGCCTTTGTAAGATCAACCAAAGAAATCAAATATACTCCAAATATACAAAGAGCTCACTAATCATAATAATAAAGTAATAAGCAATCATATTTTTGTTTGTCATCAATATTTATAATTCAAAATTTGATATTGTCACCAAAACCAAATATATTAGCAACAGTATCCTCACCAAATAAAAATTGGATAGGTCAACAGTATTGTCACCAAATATTAATTAAATAGGTAAAAAGTATTGACACCAAATACTAATTAGATTGGTCAACAGTATTGTCACCAAATACTAATTTGATAGGTCACCAGTATTGTTACCAAATATTAAGTCAACAATATTGTCACCAAAAACCAATTAGGCAAGTCACAAATTACAAAGGTTGATTGTATTGTCACCAATCAGAATGTCACTGACAGTGTTATTACTTATTACATTATTAATTTCAATTGCAACTAAAACAAAAATTGTTACTTGAATTTCTGCACATACACACATCAGACTTAGAGTAGTCAGGTAAAGACTGATTTCCATAAAATCGCTACAATGACACTGCAGCGTTTTCATTAGAATTGTAGCACTGCATGTATGTTCCTGACGCTATCGAGAAGATACTTCAGATTTAAACAACCTAAAAGCATTCCCGAATCGTGTAGCGATTTTATGGAAACCAGGCACTATAAGAAACTTCAAAAAATAACCGATGAAAAAACAAACTTTATATAAATGTCCATCAACTGTCATTTTGTTTTTCAAAAACCTTAATAGCAATTAATTCAAAAACATTTTTAAAAATCTATAACTTTTTATGAATTAAAATTTGATTTCATTTTAAAAAGTGTATTTCCTTCGAGATGATTTTAAACAATGCTTTAGATAGTCAATCCTTCGCCCAATGCATCAGTTACACAGTTTCATGCTACAATGCATTAAATACAACCACCAATAAGAGATACTTTTATCTCTACTTTTACATTCATAATAAAAAATAAATGAATCAATTCAGGATTATGCAATGTGTGGGTCAGAATTTAAGCTCTTTTTCTTGGAGTTCTATTCTACACATCAAAAATTATACTACAATACTAATGTAATTACAGAGCAAAAATTGCTATCCATTTGCACAAAACAAATAGCGGAGGGATTAATGTCATATTTCACTAATCCACCACTAAAAGCACCTCATACCGGAAGAGATACTTAAGATTAAAAATATGGATTAAAATATTAAAAACAAGGGATTAAAACCAATCCCCAATTTAAAGAAAGCCAATCACACATCCCACACTTCCTGCCAAACCAAGAATTATGGGATTGGGAAAAAAAATCACAGATAATCAATCTAAAAGAAATCAAAGATTAACTGAATATCAGAAACTATAACAAAATTTACATACTAACATTTTTGTACCATTTAACACAATAATTAATTTAATATTACATTATTAATATAATATTAACAACAATATTGAGGTGAGAGTGAATACAGAAAATAAATATACAAAAAATATTGAATGTTTCTTTGTATCAACAAAAGTGTTTGATTCGATCGAATAAACACAGAACCACCCTGTACACTCATATTTCTACACGTTGGTGTCGCTCTGCTTCAATGCGCCACCTTTTCCTGTACACTAAATCATTTAGATGGGGAAATTACGATAAAATTTGGCACCGGGTCAAACAAGGTATGGATAGAGTGGGGAAACTGCATTAATTTACATTACAAAAAGTGCAGAAAGGTTTGATAGTCAAATATTCAGAAAAAGTATGATTTCAAAAAAAAATCTTATTTATGATTCAAATTTGTTACAGAAAAAAAAAATTAAAGATATTCCGTGATATATTTTTAGCACATTTCAACAATTTACCATTTGAATGTTCAAAATGATATTATTGGATTCCATGCATTATATAGTATAGATATTTTAATTATGTAAAGCTTTGCAAAATCTATTTTGACAGGTAGTATGATAAATCTTGGGTAAAGAATGAGATCATTGTGTGTAGCATGAGAGCATTGCAAATAGCACAAGAGCATTGAGTGTAGCATGCAAGCTTTGTGAGTAGCATGAGAGCCTTCCCTCTTTGTAGAAGTGGTTGGCGCATCGGTTGTGGCTTGGACTCCCAACCTCGGGGTCGGGGGTTCGAAACTCTCGCTGTGCAAATCGCTTGTGTCCTTGGGAAAGGCACTTTATCTACGGTTGCCCCTCTCCACCCAGGAGTACAAGTGGGTACCTGGTAGGTTCCAACACTGCGCTGATTACTAGCCGCAATATTATGGAGATATAATTTAATTTAATAATTTCATTTGGATTGCTGTTCCTCTGTGCTTTTGTTTGTAACCGATTTTGGTGACCCAGTCAGTTCCTCTCTAAGTTCTTTAAGTTTGAGGTAGAATTTGACTTTATCTTGTGCTCTGGGGAATTGTGAACATCTTGCACTTGATGATGGCATCACATACACAACCTGTAAATATAAAGACAGTACAGAAATCAAATTGCATGTGTGCTTAGTTTATTCTCTGAAATGAGTAGGGCATATGTGTCAAAGACAAGCAGATGTGTATAAGAGACAGGCTATTATATAAACATATTAAAAGTATTGCAACTTGGAGTGATAGATCAGTTGTTAGTACAGCAAACAAATGTTAGTCTTGGGTTCGCTTCCCAATAACAACAATATGTTTTTATCAATACACTGTACTGTATAAAGTATTTTATCATTTTGGAGGGGTTCCAAAGTTAATTATTAATCTACAAATTGTTATGCTTCAGAATAAATTCTAAAATGCTTTGTAATCTATTTTCAGATAAGTTAAAATAATCAGGTGCTATTTAATTTCACATGATACTAAGATTTCAAGACTGCAATTAATATTAACATTCAGTAATATTACAAGTTTAAAATGGCAGTTATAAAAGGCTGATACAAAAAAAGCTATCAAGCCAATACAATTCCGCAAACATCAATAACTTAAATAGGCATGATTATAAAAAAGGAGGTTTATTTTTTTTGATTCGTTTCAATTTATTTTTTAAAACTTATTTCTACCTACTAGACGGCTGAGAAATATGTTGCTGAGATGTTACTACGGATGTGGTGTTAAGGTTGGATAAAGATGTCGACATTGGTTGAGATATACTGGTTGAGTGGCCTAGCAAGGATTGGGTAAATGTCATTGGTGGATGACCGCCCATGTGGTGAGGTGGCATCATCATCTGCTGAGTGCTTGCCAACCAGCTACCAGAGGTCATATGCTGGTTCATTCTCATGGGGTCGTTCATCTGTTGCGGGGGTTGCGGCACTTGTTGCTGCGGGGGGTAGTAACCCATCGAGCCATGGGGTGATTGGAAGTATTGAGATCTCTGTGGATTGCTAATGTTAGGAATCTGGTCTTCGAATCGGTTTCCAATTGGCAAACTTGGAAGACTTTGCACCCAAGAGGCAGTCTGTAACATCCTCTGACTGAGACTACAAAGCTGTGACGAACTTTCAGTGTCTTCTGATGGGTTTTCCTTAGGCTCCTGTTTAACTTGCACAGGTTTTTGAACGTGTCCATTTTGTGGAGGAGGGGTGCATTGCTTCGCATTTTTTTCTTCATTTTTTAAGAAACATAAATTAGACGCTGGTATTGTTCCATCAACATTTTTTTCTAATTTCACCTCAATTTTCTTGGCACACATATTCTCAATATTATCGTTATCGCGCGGCTCAATTTTAATCTCCGGTTTTTTATCATTCGCTTGGTTTTCCTCAACTTTTGTTGAGGGGACTACATCTTTGACACCACCTTCTGCTTTGATAGCCTCTTCCCCATCCTTGTTTACAGCAGGGGCTTCCTGAATGGTTGAGGATTGCTGTTCCTCTGTGCTTTTGTTTGTAACCGATTTTGGTGACCCAGTCAGTTCCTCTCTAAGTTCTTTAAGTTTGAGGTAGAATTTGACTTTATCTTGTGCTCTGGGGAATTGTGAACATCTTGCACTTGATGATGGCATCACATACACAACCTGTAAATATAAAGACAGTACAGAAATCAAATTGCATGTGTGCTTAGTTTATTCTCTGAAATGAGTAGGGCATATGTGTCAAAGACAAGCCAAACCAGTCACTCGTTGCAAATCGTGTTTCAGAGAAAATGGCCAAAACATGCTGGAATGTCAAATTTTAAAACATCTATTTTATTGCACTAAACTAACCTTTATATATCTACACATCATTCTATGCTGTTATTTCCCCCATTTTCAATGTTAAAACAATACTTTTTAAGGATTTAAAGATAGTTTTTGCATGAGAAATGCCTGAAATCAAACTTTGATGGTTAATTTCTCATATATTGTTCTTTAAACAGCTGTATGGTTAAACGCTTGTAACTTCATAAGGAAATGTCAGATTTGAATGATTTTTTTAACCATTTTATAGCTATTATTTTACTTTCTAACACTGTATTAATAACTCAAAATCGATTTTTGCGACGAGTGACTGGTTTGGCTTGTCTTTGCCACATATGTTGAATATTCCTTCCTATTGCATAATTATTAGAAGTAATTATTCCCAAGGGAATGCGGAAAATTGGATACAGTGTAACATTGGGAACACTTTGTCATCTTCCGGGGTCCCAAGTTTGAAGAAGTCACTTCTGGACTATCTGATTTTATGAGCTTTAACACATCTAATTTCAGTTTGCTCCACATAGTGATACCCATCGGCAATGACTTCTGTGAGACAATTGATAATAAAGCAGTGAAAACATGCAAATATTATGAATTTGCAGGAGGTGGGTTATTTTCCGTGAGATATCTGCTTGCTTGCGGTAGTACAGGAGGCCATCCTGATATCCGGGAGACTCTCGCGAGTTGTGGGTGACTTTGGATCCCTGAAATTTCAGGGGAACAATGCTAACCATTAGCACCTATACTGATGACTGTTACCAAAAATATTTTATTTATTTTAAATTTTATTTTCTACACATAACAGATCTAACACAGCATTTCTTCTTTTCGGATTGCCCTAAAATTAAAAACAAGCAACATCCTTGTTCTTGCAGATAAAGAACCTTCTGCAAGATGCAAAATAATGTAACAAAATAAAAACAAAGTTCTATATAAATCTAAGTAAAAAAAATATAAAATATTATATATTATGGTGGTCATCTCAAAGATTGAATCTATTTAGTTCTCCAATTCATATGAATTTGAATGTCCTTTCTAAGATAAAAAACTAAAGTTAGGTGTCTTTATATTATTAGTATCATTCATTTAGTTACTCACTAAAAACTTAATGAATAACAGCAATGAACTAAGCTTTTATCTGCTGCCCTCAATGTTCATGAACTTCATCATGTCACTTTAAATGCAAATTAGCACTGAATGACTGTGCAACCTACATCCTGGTCAACATTACCCATCTATTGTCACTATTATTATATTATTAAACTGCTATGAGCTGAGCTTCTATCTGCTGCCCTCATTTTTCATTAATATGTGTAATTAATCATCATCATGTGACCACTATGCATATTAGCACTGAATGGCTATGTGCAGGCTACTTTCAACATTATCCAACTATTGTTATTATTATACATATTATTATGGAATATGCAGCACTGACACATACAGTAATGTGCCATGAATTTTTAAACTTTTGATTTATATTTATTTATAATTTTGTAATCTAATATACATAAACTATGTCATATATTAGTGACATTTCACTATGAGCTTTCATTTGCTGGAATTAGCACAAATACATCCATGATTAGTGTGTATGAGTCATGGTGGGATAGATTATTTTCCATTTTTAACAAATTCCTCTCTATTCTTTGTCCAGGGTGATTTTACTCCCATGCTAAAATATTAGTGTACTTTTTCATGATATGAATGCGACAATAACATAATCAGCTAATTATCACAATATTATGCAGAGCCTCTCCACATTGAATCCTTAGTGATTAACATTATTACAATAATTAATTAATTATTTGGCTAAATGTTTAATTTATTATATATTGCATTTATTAGAATAAAGGTAAAATCTAAATTTGAAACCTGGCCTGATAGGCCAGTGTACCCATGTCTGTTTCCTTAGCATTTGAACCAGACTGTACAATGGTGAGGGGGAGGGGTATTTACCAAACATCTCGCACAAGTCTGTTTCCCCACTTAACACAACTAAAAGCCATGGCACCCATTTTTTAAAAACATATATAAATTGCTATAATTCCTAAAGACGGTGTGAAATGACAGCAAGAGTTTCGAACCGACGACCACCAGGTTGACAGTCACAACTGTTGCACCTACCGCTTCCACTTAATTATTATGTAGAACATCCACCAATGGTAGGAGAGCTTTTGCTGTGGCAGCTACAACTTTGTGGAACTTCATACCAACCTCCATCAGACATTGTGCTACGTTAAACTCTTTTTAAGACCAAGCTAAAAGACCTTCCTTTTCAATCAAGTTTTTTTTATTAATTTAACATTGCATCCTTATTCTGTTTTTAAAATTATTATTATTATTATCATTATTATTTAGTATGTTATTATTAGTAATTATTATTAAATGTAATATTTTTGTTTATTCATTTTTATTATTTATGTATTAGAAATATTATTATATTATTTTTCTCAAATATAGCATACTTCACATAGTAAGGAATTATATTTTGTAAAAAGTAATCTTATACTATATAATTATTTTTTTGTATAAAACACTGTTGCCTGTGTAGTTTTTCAAAACATCAATAGAAGATGGTATTCATCCACTAATGTAATTAATTATTCGATGCTATCAATGTTAGCAAAACATCAAGTCAGTTAAAGCCATTTCAGCTTTCCTAACAAAAGCAATCTAATTTGGCATCGGCTCCGAGTACACTGAAAATTTACAGAGGAAAAAAGAAACATTGTCCCATTATTCAAATTAATACAATTCTCTCATGCGTGATTCTCGCATGCAAATTATTTTTTAGCCAATACACTCAAATAGCAATTTTCCAAGTAGTGTATATTTAATATTTAATTAAATTGCAATTTTCACCTTACAGTCTTCATTACTTTAATATCAACATGTCAGAATAAATTGAGAAAATATTAGCTACAATGGCAGAAATAATAAGGAAACAGTCTGTATTTTGGAAGTTGGAAGGATTAATGTTGTGCCAGGCCATTAGGCTAGATTAAACACTTGAAAAGAGTTGCATAATTTCTAATAAGATTAAAAGAATTCTGGCTTATATAGGAAAAGAGGCTTCCTGAAAAACGAAAGCCAGACTGCTCGATAGAGTAAACAAAAAACAGCAGTTACAGCAACACACCCCTAATGAAAAGACGTCAACCAGTGTTGCTGCGTGTAAGAGATAAACAGGGGCTGGAATGAAAATATCACTGGAAGAAGGAAACTGGGGTCAGTTTTAGGGTGGAGGGTGATGTGGAAGTAGGTCGTAATTGACAGGACATAAGGTTTTGGGTATCCCCATCTGTATTATGTTTACGAATCATTCGCTGATTGCAGAATCATCTATTCTACAGGGTACAAGTCTAGAGGTCACTGTCTTTAATGCCATATAAATTTAAACTATTCTTTTTTGACAAAAAATTCTATAATTGCTACCAAAGATAGAAGTTTCCATAAAAATGGAAAATGATGCTATATAAAATGCCTAGTCATCTTACTGTCATCTAACTGTACAGATACAAACATACAATTAATTTAACAAATTTATAAAAACTTTAGGTTTTAGAGAGCCTAAATTTAAAACTTTTATTTAAAACCTCTGAAAATCTTTAAATTATATCAACTACACCTGCATAGGTCTAAATGAGGGGACCATACTTCCTTAGTGGTGGTACTATAGTGTTGATTCAAACCATATGAAATATTTCCAAATGTATTTGTATTATGTACCGTGTGTTGAATGCAGTAAACATGTTAGAATTAGGCTAAAAAAAACCTTTCAAATTGTAATACTTGGTATAATCTTGGTTATAGGTGAATTTCTGCATGCACAAAAAAACAAAAAGAACAGGTCTACCAGAACTTCAAACTTACCGTGTCCGTGCCCTCCATTGGTTCCGGTTGCCGGCCAACCTCAAAGTTCTTTGAGCCATTGAAAACCTCGTATATTCCTTTTCCATTAAACACTGCTATCTTTGGTTTGAACTGCTTGACTTTTTCCAGAAGGATTTTGGCACCTTCCTTAATTTCTTTCCTGTTGGGAAGCAAAAAACATGGAATGATTATATTGCTATTCACAGTACATTTTTTTCTATCTGTAAATGTCGAAGAAGGCATACATTGCAAATCATAGAATTTCTGTATTAAAGGTGGCTTTTTGCCGCCATCAAATATCTGACGAAAATTTATAATAATTATATCTGACAAACGGTATTAAATTAATTCTCATATACATGGGATTCATAGCATATAGGATATACTATAAATAAACAAAAATATATGACCTCTTGACGTATGAATAAACAAAAATCTATGACCTTTTGAACAAGGATAGGTAACGATGACATGATCGTGACAGTGCAAATTAAATAATATTAGACAGATAATTATCATTCACGTCCAATCAACCAAAAATTATAAGATCACTAGTCGACAGAATTATATGTATTAGTATTATTAGAAAATAGAACCACTGGATTGAAAATGCCAAGATATTTTTCATCTGGACACTATTATATGTTATGTACCTAGACTGTGAACAGGGGTTAGAGAGCGATTTATAATTTTTAAATCCCCAACTAATTATTAATGAATTATTATTTCACTGTAAACTAAATATATTAATTACCATGGATATGTATATTTAAAAATAGCTGGGTTCACGCTAACCGATCGCCAAGTCGCCATGGGCGAAAACAATTTTGAATTGGCGAAACAAAAAACAACTACTTTAGCCATTTTGGCGAAAGCTTAAAAATAATAAAAATGTTTTTTTAAATACTTGCTGAAATTCATTGTTTCTTTCGTCCGACCTCTCCATGGAAATATTTTTCCGTCGGCACGATCAAGGCCAAGATCTCCATTTTACGCTACTCCATTGCCAGTGCCATGCAACTTTTATCTGTGTTGTTCTATTAGTGTGACTACAAATGTCACTGTGTGCATAGCAAATTATTTTGTTATTTTAAAGTGGGCAGCGTAACAATCAGTGGCTGGATGGTAACGACTAAAGTACCGACACAAAATACTACATTTTTACCTGCGCGCAGGCTTCGTAGATACATCGTAGCCTGATATAAACAATCTAAGCAAGGCCGGCTACGCGAAGCGAACCTACGAAGCAAAAGCATGTTGTTTATTTGTATGTGCAGACAGACTGCTGTAGCTTACTGGAATAAACAATGTATTGCTTGATAATTTGTTAATGACAAGCACAAGTTTAGACCGTTAATTTAAAGTATGGAGATGTTTTTCAATAAGAAAAACGTACAAATGACTTCAAAGGAGTCTCCTCTTCGTCTCGCTGTCCACGAGTCGACAGGAACTTGTTTGTACTGCTGTATTATTTTTTTAATTAATTAGCCTAGCCTAGGCTAGCTTATTTTTTAATTTACAATTATTTTACCTCTTTAACTGTTCAAAAAAGATGCCCTCAATGACAATACACACACGTGAATAGATTGTTCATCAAATAATACTTTGTAGCCTTGATTTAGTACAATAAATATAGAGAGAGTTAACGTCCGTTAATTGTAAAATAACCGAATGTCACATGTAAAACCCAATGGAAAATAAAACTTGGCAAAATGCCAGTTCATCTTGTCAACCCCAAAAATCCAGCATCGGACAGAGTGCGCGCCAATCAGAACACAGTAAAGTGTGTTAAAGGTTAACCTCGTGGCAATGTTGAAAAGCTGTGTGCGACAGTGAGTAAAAGACGAAGAAAATGTGATCTAGCATGACTAGCCTTACTTCGGCAAAGTAGTGATTTCTGTAGTTCATTAGTATTGGATCGCTTAGCAGGTTCTGCTTCAAATTACGGTAAACAATAAACAACGTGATCTTTAAGTAGAAATCGTAATAATTTTTACATGATTTGTCATCAGTATTATTATTTAAAAGAAGAAAGTTCCTACTACCAGAACAATATCAGATCAAAATTCTCTGAATTGGAAAGTTAACCAGTATAAATTACTGTCTGCTATCCTCCTCTATGGGAAAATGTAGGCCATAGGCCTAAATGACATCAAAATTCGAACATACTGACGGCCCACTAGGTTACCTAGCTATCAAACTAAACACAGTTTTAAAACATGATCGATCTAATAATAAGGTAGGAAATAACAAAACAATAAGTTCTAACATTGTTTATTAGTAAATTGCAACATTGTTCACATGCTGAAAGCTGGTAAACTATATTTCAATATTGTTTACGCATTGTTTATCAGCCCGACGATCTCCAGCCTACGAAGTTTGCAAAGCTAATTAAAATAACAATGACCTTCTTAGTGGTTCGTAGCTACGTTCAAAACATAACCTACGAGCAGATTACGAGAGGTTACGCGCAGATACAAAGTAGTACTGTAATTCCTGTCTGTACTGTAATTTCTATGTTCACGACGGTCGGCTGGCTGTTAGCGTGCCCCAAATGCCCAAGTACACACACAACAGCAGAATTAAAGCAGCCGACTGTCGGGTAAATAATGGCTTTCGAGCTTGGGGTTTTTCCTTGAATGCTTGAATGATTTCAATGTCAATGGCCAGGCCGCAATTTTTTTTCCATACGAAACATTTGCATGAAACTTCACTCGGGTCATATAAGTGCATGATAAGTGGCTAAAACAATTTTTAACATTTTAGCCAATTTTGGCTAAACAAATATCCAATTGGCTAAATTTTTTTTTTAGCTTTAGCCAATTGGCTAAACAAAAATGAAAGTTAGAGTGAACCCAGAATAGGTATTATTAGATCCAGTTAGTAGGTGAAAGCGCAAAACCTTGGCATACTATAGAATGAAACAAATATATTATTATCATTAAACAACTAGGGTAGACTAAGTTTAATTGACATTTCAATTTCCCATTCAACATATTCATAATATAAATACTAATTTCATGTCATCTCCTTTGGGATTCATCATTTCAAATTCTGCAAATTAACTGAAACCCTGTTTTTTTAACATTCTGAACAAGGGACGTAATTAAAAAAAAAAAAGTGTCATCAAAGACGTAACAAATAGGAAAATGAAACTACTTGGCCAAACAAAACAAAAAAACAATTTTGTGGAGTGTACGGCCATACACGTATGGTAATAAATTTAGGGAATGCTAAAATGTGGATATAAAGCACACAATACAAATTTGAACAATAACCATGTACTCTGAGCAGCCATCAACAGGAAGCTCTGGAAAGAAATGGTCATGAATGTGTGCACCCAGGCATGAAACTCAGAAGAGAACACAATAAATGGAATACGAGTTCACAATTCGAGGCATTTTGAGCATGTTTATGGTGATTAAACGGAACAAAAGATGAGATAAATTATGCCCAGTCAGTGGCAGTACCGTCAAAAGAAACCAGTTTTCCCAAATGAAGACGGAGATCGGTAGATCGGTCACTCACTAGGACGTCCTATTCATCAAAACTCCGGCAATGTTGAAACAAACTGAAATTCAGTTTCAGTTTATATCACCTGAAACCACTGTTCTATTCTTCTAGGCTTACTTCAAAAAAGGTCTATCTAGCCTAGGTCTAGTAGGTTGCTTGTTACTACAACAACCAACCTGTTGTGTATTCAATACCTGTCTCTTATACACATCTAGATGTGTATAAGAGACAGGGCCATATAAGTGCATGATAAGTGGCTAAAACAATTTTTAACATTTTAGCCAATTTTGGCTAAACAAATATCCAATTGGCTAAATTTTTTTTTTAGCTTTAGCCAATTGGCTAAACAAAAATGAAAGTTAGAGTGAACCCAGAATAGGTATTATTAGATCCAGTTAGTAGGTGAAAGCGCAAAACCTTGGCATACTATAGAATGAAACAAATATATTATTATCATTAAACAACTAGGGTAGACTAAGTTTAATTGACATTTCAATTTCCCATTCAACATATTCATAATATAAATACTAATTTCATGTCATCTCCTTTGGGATTCATCATTTAAAATTCTGCAAATTAACTGAAACCCTGTTTTTTTAACATTCTGAACAAGGGACGTAATTTAAAAAAAAAAAAGTGTCATCAAAGACGTAACAAATAGGAAAATGAAACTACTTGGCCAAACAAAAAAAAAAAACAATTTTGTGGAGTGTACGGCCATACGTACATGTATGGTAATAAATTTAGGGAATGCTAAAATGTGGATGAAAATATAAAGCACACAATACAAATTTGAACAATAACCATGTACTCTGAGCAGCCATCAACAGGAAGCTCTGGAAAGAAATGGTCAAGAATGTGTGCACCCAGGCATGAAACTCAGAAGAGAACACAATAAATGGAATGACCATGTGGAATTACAATATACTGTAAGTAGATTCTATTCCAATTCCTTCTGGAATTATCAATTCCATTTCCTTCAGGATTTGAAGAAGTTCAATTTCTAGGAAATTCAATTTTGTAATTCATCCACAATTCATTAATATTTAAATTCCTTATGGGCTACCAATTCCGTTTCCACACCTCAATATATCCGGAATTGGCCCCAATACTGGATATGAACAGGATTTAAGAACTTACTTGGTTAGGTCCGCACTACCCCGTGAAGTCCTCTCCACGATATTTGTAAACCCAATTCCAAAGTCTAGTAGTTTGTAATCATCCATTGCCGTCATAGGTTCTGGAATTAACCCTGATAGATATAGGCATTTCCCTGAAAATAAAAATTATCATAAACATTATTTTTAAAAATATAATTCTTCCCTGAATATTTTACTAAGGACAGGCTACTTCATTTGATATATTAGATGTCTTGCCACAAAACAGTCCTTACCACCAGATTATTAGATTTAGATTCTAAAATTTATATATCTTTTAAATCTAATTTAATCTTTCAAATTTATCTTTAATTATTAATTTCTTTTAGTATTTAATGTATTTATTTCTTTGATATATAACAAAGGATATACGGCAAAAGATAAGCGGTAGCCAAGGCTGATTGATTTACAAAAATATATCAATATTATATACAAAAATATATCAATATTATATACAAAAACTAAAAATTATAATACGAATGGACAAACCCTTAAAAATACATAAAAGAAATATCACATTGATAGAAAGTGGTTTATTCTATGAGACCAACAAGTCACTTGCTGGTAAGGGTGAAGAAAATTTCTGAGGAGGTCAGACTTCAAAACAAATTTCAAAAGTTAGCAATAATATAAATATGTTTATGTTTATAAAAGTTTGGATTCTTTTGCAGACCTATGAATTTCTATATTTGATTTATGGTGTTTTCTTTGTAGCTCATTATAACTTTGTTGACCAGCCTTTTCGAGTCAATTGTGTCAGCACATCTTGAACTGTGAAATCAAGTGAAATAAAGGCTAGCTACTTTACTTTGCGGTTATTTTTTTTGCTTTAGGATATTAAAATTGTGACTCAATAAGACATGGAAATCCACAAGCCTCAAGGGGTGTGCCATTACAACTGAGTCACATAGCCCCCTGAGTTTCAATCAAAAAGTGGTAGCCAGCTGATAGCTGGAGCTAGGCTTTACCCAAGTCACATATTTGTTTCACACATACAGTGGATGTACTGATAACACAAAGCTTTTTTGCATACTGTAAAGTACTGTAGGAATAGATTTTAAAATTTATACACAATTTCACATTGAAAAGGTTTGTAAATTTATTTTAACTCTCAATAATTACAGTATTTATTTTAAATATAGAGTTATCTCCTGGTGTGGACTGAAATTAAGTACAATACAATTCAATATTTATTTTCTTAACCAACGGATAAACAATTTTATTTGCGACAAAATAACAACAAAAATCCAATTACCTTATTCAAAATAATATTTAATTAATAACAATGACCATATAGGAGTGATTACTCCAATGAAATCTTCTGACTGACACAAAACAAGATTGAAATGCCACTGTATCTGCTGCTATTTGGGGATTGGATTCAACATTAGCCACTAAGCGAGATTTTTGTCGCAAGTATTTTGGAACGTACTGAGTATTCAGCACAACATCATGTCAGGTAGCGCAAAACATAACCCCCTACTAAACTTCCTGACAAAAAACAACATCAAAATAATAATCCTGTTCCATACGTAGTCTTGTTCAAATTATGATTAGTTTCACCATGTAAATCGTTTTGCAATTTTCAACTTACGAGCTACAGTACAGTATAATCCTGATGAATTGATATTAAAGTATTGCTTGTAAATAACGGAAATTCACTCCATGGATTAAAACAACTACTTATATCAAAAGTTGAAATTTATTGATTTTATTCTTTAACTTCCATAATTTCAATTTTATCAAATATTTCACTAAATTAACAACATTTTAAACATGAATACTTACAGAAATGATTGCCTGGTCCTGCATAATGGTGTCCTTTGTAAGCTGCAAAAAGTCCTGGGTTGATGCCAATCTACAGAAAAATGGTGATAATAAAAAAAATTATTATTTTTGTTACTGTGTATCAAGCCACTTTCGCTACAATATTCTTTCAACAAGTCTTAGGTTATTATACATGCTTTAAAAACCATAAAGGCCTAATAGGCTTATAAAGCAAATTTGTTTTAATTCTCAAGGGGGAAAAAAAAGATTTGTTTTTTACAGAATTCGAACCCTAGACACCGAGATTACCCACAGCAGTACAATAATTACTGTAGTAAATAAAGAGCTTCTTTTCAATGGACAATTAATAAAAATGGGATATTCAGCAACAACCCTTGAATAATCTGAATTTACTTAAAGCCTTGTCCAAACTATCAAATTTTATTTTCACAAAAACCGCAACATGCCTATGGTTAGGCCTAAAAAAATATGTTTGTTTGCCCTCCAGTGCCCGCCCCTAGCTCATGGAAAAATAGGGGCAGGGTTTTTAAAAAGGGTTTTTCTTTTTATTTTTTCTCCATTTTGTACATGAAAGTTGTCTAAATTTGGTGTCTGATGTAAGGTATCACCATTCTAGACCTAAATTCATTGCAAAATATTGATTATTGGTTATTTTTATTCAGTCTGATGAATACCCTTCGAAAAACAAATAGTGAGACAGGCTTAATTGCCCCTCCTATACAATTCTCATCATTAAAGGGCAAACAAACAATTTATTTTTTTAGGCCTTACAATGATTTCACATCATGATCATATATCCACATTAGTCTGGACAGAGCCTAAACAAATAAATCATTAGAAGATTTTGAGCATTATGATTTCCAGAAATAATTTGCTAGTTCTGATCCAGATTCAACCAAACCACCATCTTAAATTATTACTATTTTCAATTTGGTTGAAATATCCACTCAACTTCTATAGCCAATAACATCGCATGTGTGAGAATTTAAGCAAAACAAGGTCATTATATTTAAAGGTAGAAAAAAATATAATTGGTTTGAGCATGTTGTCAACCAGCATTTAATGTGACCATAAATCTACATATAAATTGAATACAGTACTACTATAGCTGGGAACATTAACAGTAACATGTGAAATAACAACAGACTGGTTTTTCAATTCATAAAAGTTTTCATACTATACTTCATATTATATGCTTAACATAATTTATGAAGTCTATTGAAGACTTAATTGTTAAAATATAAAACATTATGAAAGGTAACAATTAAAGAGGCATGAAAAAATGTCCATAATTTTACAAAATTAACAATTAACAATTGAACAACATGATATCTGTTAGTAAGTTCCAGTATTAGCCTTCAGTTTGATGTATAAGTCTCTCATTACAATTTTCAGCATCACTTCACTGAAAATTGACCTTACTTAAACAGTTTGCATCGCTTCAGCAATCATGCTAATACCCTGTTTCATTAGCGGAGGAAAGTTATTAATATATGCAATGAAAATAACACTACAACTGACCTTATGTATTTATTAACTCAACAAATGCAAAAAAGAAAGAGAAAGAATTAGACAGGAATTATTAATTCCTATTGCTGGAGTGCAGTATATTGTACAATCATAAAACTGTATGGTATGTACACTCATTTTGTAATTTAATGCCTAAATTCAAAAGTGAAATTCTGGTTTTTATCAAGTCATTTTGTCATTATTATCACTAGTAATTATGGAATTTTAATAATCATTAGAATATTGAAATTTTTATCATGGAGCTGATGCTATAAATTTTTAAAAAGAGAACTCCTTAGATTCGGAAGTCAACCATATTTTTCACATTCCACTGCTGCTCTGTCTTCTGTAAAAGTCTTTAGGCATTGTACAAAGTATATAAATTCCAATTATTATTACTAAATATTGTTTAGTAATTTCTGTTAAATTAGAAAGAATACATTCACTAAATATTAGTTGACCTGAACTTATTGGAATTTATTTTTGAAACAATTTTTCTGACAAGTACAAAGAATTTCAATATTCTCATCACACCCTTTAATTAGTTGGTAAACTACTTACTAAAATGTAAAAAAACAAACAAAAAAAAAACAAAAAAAAACTAACTGTAAATCAGTGAATGAATAAATTTGAGGTGATAAGTAATTAACTTTTTCTTTGACCCAAGTAATTTAGGAAAATTGTATACAAATAGCACTCCTCGTATTCAAATTAATTCACTAACATGTAATCTGACTTTTTGAATATTTGACTCTATAGGAGTACATATTTACACAATTGTACCAAATTAATATTACTGACATCGGACTCATTTCACTATCGGGTCACGAAGGGCTTACGTTGGTTACTTACATTATGGCTTTTATACTGTAGACAGACTTGCAATTTAGCTGCTGGCTAGAAGCAGCTCTTATGGGCCTATTCTTACGATTCTGGTAATGGATACTAAACGACCTGTTGGCATTTACCATGTCATATTAACTGTATTATGTATTCACTGATGCCGAAAATCAGAATTATGCTAAACTTCTCCTGCAATGATTTATGGGATTGCGTTAAAACCGAGACACATAAAGGTCAAAACATAAATCATCCCTCTAATTTGAGGCTCACAATCACATTATTCGAGAATGACCTACGAATGCATAACATATGAATGGAACATTTAACATTATGCAAATGAGATGTACAGTATAATATCAAAGTTCATTGTGGCATTTCTCACAAAGAGACAATGCCTACCACAACATTATTATCTATTGTGATTTTCTTTTGATACATACTATACTGTATTCTACGCATCTCCAAAAAATGGGGTTAATGCAATAACAGCAGTGAGATATACAGTACTGTAACAAACACATAGTTAACTCTATCCATCATATATCATTATTATGCATTCAATCGATTTATCTTTATTGTTATTAATAAATAAACTAATTTATATTTAAAAAAAACAGTGATGCATTCAAAAATATATTCAGACTAAAAGTAGAATTTAATTTTTCTCTTCATGTTGATTGTACTAATTTCAAAGGCTATGGGCCTTTAAAAAACAAACTGCAATTAATAAAAAGCTGAATATTTCTATACATCTTGTTTCTCATTGTTCTTTGAGTCTATTGTAATTTATTCCTCTAATCCTTAGAAATTATCAATCATAATAAAATGAGTAGCTCAAGTAAATAATGGCATTTAATATCAAGCAATTAGAATACTACAAACTGCTTGAATGTTATCACATGTATGATACATTTTATAAAATCTACAAATAATTTTTAATGAAAATATATGGTCGTAGGATTATTCTTTGGTAGTCAGCATAACAATAACAACTAAAGGTTACTTCATAGGCAGCAAGGCTAGCTGGATCACTGCCAAAATCAGGCGAGATTTCAAAAAAATTCAAGGTAAAATTAACAAAATAATAAAAATACTGAACTAATTTGAATAAAATATGCCAAAAAATTAATAAGAAGCTCCCAATGCGTGTCAAGTTGTTAGATTCCAATTGAAGTGTTTACATTTTGATACTAAGAGAAAAAGCAAGGGCGCCTCTAAAATTGTTAACTACAGTACTGTACGGTACATTTCATCTGTGAATTGACATTCTCTGCCAATCTTTGGAAAACCATAAAATTCATTTATTTCAATGAATATTATAAATATTAAACCAATGCTTAATTATATTGTAAAAAAAATTCTTGATCAGATGAAATACATATTAAAATGGTGTAAAATTAAGAATACAACTAACATTTTCTTCAGAAAATTTTGAAAAATAATTAGTTTCCATCCTTAAAAGAGATGATTTCCTCAACAGGTGACTCAACCTTCTGCCCAAATAGAGTTCATAAGACAGTGTAAGGAATTTATGACAGTCTTTTTAATGAGATACTTAAACCCTTCATCTTTTATTACTGTACTTAGAAAGAATGATAGAATAAGAAGACTAATTATAACTGTATAACTAGGTTTTCTCAAAATTTTACTTACAATCAATTTTTTATATTAAGGTCATGTGATTACTTAATTGCGTAAAAGCAATGCATTGATAACTAATGAGAAAACCCACACAATGTACAGTGTTTATATATTGACTTGTGGTATTTCTAGAAATGGTTATTTCAACGAACGATTTCAAAGAAACAGGGTCCATTAAAAAAAAACCCCAGTTTTGGAGAAATATAATTTTCATCCTGCACGATTTTACCTCCTGTTCTTTTTCCATGTAACTAAACATCGGCAGGCAGTGTCGTTTCTACAATGGGGGCACTGATATGAGGAATCATTAAAACATAAGTTTTTTACCTAAATTGTTTTATTTGAACACTAGGTACACAGATGAGCTGTTATTTGGATCCAGGGGAATCATTGTTTGTAATTGTATCTTATCCGTCACTCAAAAACTTGTCATGTAATATTAATGAAGATCTTCCATGTTCAATACACAGCTAGATAATCCCCCTTGCTCTTCGCCAATGAATAGTGTTTTGTTTTGTCCACATATCTACAGCAAAACACCCAATCTGATGACAACTGACCAATCCAAACAGGTCCAGAACAGTGGCGGATCCAGGGGGTTCAGGGGGGTGGGACAAAAACCCCCTCAGTGAACAAACATAACAAAATACTACTGGGTCCTAGCTTACAAAAGGCATGCTAACCTACCAAGGAAAATGTTGGCAGATCAGACAAACTAGGCTTAGCCCAACTAGCCTTCAATTAAATAGAATTATACACACTGTTTTTCGTTTAATAATTTATGTACGAAAGTGCGTTCTAATAATAATAATTACAATAATAATAATTAATAATAATAACGTTACACTTGTATAGCGCATAATGCAAGGAAAAGCTTTGCTTCACATCATAAAAAATAAATAAAAATAAAATAAAATATAATACTGTAAAACCAGGAAATTTCTCACGCATTAAACTTTGGCGAATGGCCCAGATTCGCGAAAGTTTTATGTCGCGAATAATTTTCAGGTCACATTTTCTATGTTTCAAAAAAGATCGGTAGAGTACTCTCTGATCATCGTGTCGAATCAGTTTCAGAAATAAGATTTTGGTCATTATAAATCACTGAATTACATCCAAAATTAATTTCAACTTTTTTAATGATGATAATCAACAATAAACAGCAAGAATTGTTGGTATTTCAAAGCCTAAACTTGCCGACGACGATGCATGCAGATCTAAGGCCTAGGCCTAAATGGGGAATCCCCACAAATTGCAACAGGTTTATGAAGAGTTAACAACTTCAGCATTTTAAAAATTGTATTTTTAATCATTTTAAACAAATTTATTTTAAACATAAACTATGCTATATAATAAAAATAATAACTTACGATCATAATATCCAAGCCCAGCTTAAGATGATCAGGCAGTATTCGCTTAGCAACCTCCTCTTCTGGCATTCCATTAAACCTATCTACTTTTCTCCGCTTCTTCACTGGAAATGCATCAGTTAATGTCTCTTGTTTCACTTTTTTGCTTTTACCTTTTTTCTTTGTCGTCGTCGTAGCGGAGGCTAGGGTCGTGGGTACAGTGGGGTCCAGAAGCTGTTGTCCCGCAGGATTTAACATCTGATTAGGGTTATTACAGTAGATGGGTTCTTGCTTTATGTGGAATCCATTCCTAGGATAGCCATTGTTCATTGGTGGCATGTTGCCATTATACACTCCGTTCATATGCATCCCATTGTGCGGCGTCACATTCATCGATAGATCATTACTGTACATACTGTTTACATATCCATTTGGTAGCATCGACGGAAAATAATCAGTTGGCTCTTGTTTGATTGGGAACTGTGGACTACAGTTAAAAAAAAATTAGATAAAAAATGGATGATTAATTAGATGCTATAATATGCTTTGAATTCCATTAGCACAACAAACATGAAAGCAATTTTCTTATGAGGTATTGTTATTACTGCATTACATTCTAGCAATGAGCATGTGCCAACATAAAATGTGGTTGTGGAAACATCTTTGTATATATACTTGTCAGGGTTTTAGCCAGAAAAATAGAAATAGGCCGTCCAAAATATACTTTAGTTTAATGCAATATTTGATAGAGTCAAAGAATATAAAGAATTTGCAAAAGGTAGACCAAGCCCAACTAGGCTAGGCCGAGCTAAGTAGGCCAAGCCGTCAAACCCACCCCAGTAAAGGTGAGCGTTCTAAATGATTGTTGGTCATCCAAAAGACAGCCAGACGGCTTGCTGGATAAGCCCTTGATACATGTAGAATTTTGCTGCCAACATAACCCCTGGGATGGTTGAAGTCGTACATTACTTGAAAAGTTAAATGGGGGGGGGCCTACAATCAGGGGTTTAGCCAGAAAAAAGAAATAGGCTGTCCAAAATGGACGCCAGTGAGCGTGGCACTGAGTCGATATGCGGACCATGCCAATCTTTGGGAATCACCACCGAATATTGGTACGAAAACAATGTAAATTCAATCAATAAATGTTGTTTTTATCAAACTTTAATGTAACATTCGATAGATTTGAAGAATATAAAGAATTTGCTACAGGTAGACCAGGCCCTATTAGACTAGGCCGAGCTGATTAGGCCAAGCTGTCCAAGTCGTAATGGTAAAAGTGGCCGTCCTAAATAATTGTAGGCCGTCCAAAAGACGGCCGGACAGCTCGCTGGCTAAGCCTGTGCCTACAATACACGTTGCATAGAATGACAGCTAATTTCTGAGTTGGAGAGATCAATTCTATGAAAGATATACCAATTTCATTATGTAAAATCCAGTTAAGCACAAACTAACAAAAAAATTGAGATACTGATTTAATAATATAATTTTAAATCATTCCTTTTATATACACTGCATATCTTAGGTCATTGAGGAAGTGACCTAGTAATAAAATATGAAAGTCATCTGAGAATTTAAACAAGTATTTCTAATCGCCAAACCTGAATCAATACCTAAAATTTGTATAAAAATAAAAGTAAATAATAAATAAAATAATATAAAAATAAAAATTAGAATAAAAAAAAAGAATTCCTCAAAAATTAATAAATATTAACATAATATCTATAGTTTCATATACAGTAAAGTAGTACATACTCTAACTATTGAAATGAAATAATTATCATTTGATTTTCCAGATTGCAAAGTTTAACCCTTTACTAAAGGTCAATTTAGCAATTTACCAGAATACAAATTTAAGAATATCAACTATAACAACACTGACAGCAACAAAATAAAATTAAACTAATAACTTACTAATAATATTGGTTTTGGTGCTGTACATCCTGCTGTGGATGTTGTTGTGGATGCTGAGGCTGCTGTTGTTGCTGCTGTTGTGGGTGTGGCTGCGGTTGCTGGGGATGCTGCGACTGTGCTTGGCCTTGCTGGTAGTGGTACTGGCTCTGATCCATGTTTTCGTGGGCTTGTGGGAATGGTGGCTGTTGCATGTTCACAAAACTAGGACACATTAACTGGAAGATAACAAGATTATGAAATATATAATCAAACATCAATTACATGGTAATCATACTGTAACAACAAAGTCACCTTAAGATCTAACCTTATCATCATGGGCCAATCACCTACAGTGTACAGTTAAAATTATCACAAGAAATGATGATGGGCTCCGCCTCAGTGGGAATAAATATGAAGTTGTTTTACTGGCCTTTGCTACTTCATGTTTTTCTTGGATGACACTTACAAGTAGCACGCTGCACTTGCATGTGTGAGATGCCTTCCTTCACATAGATGCTATAGAGGGGATACTTGCTAAAATGTTCTCTAGAGCACATTCATATGCAACACTGTGCATGAATCATACATTTACAATATGATCCTGTCATGCTAATTATGCATGACGAACATCAAATGTAAACATTGTGATTATTGTAATTTATAAGCCATGTATTACGAAGTGTATACCTAGACGAAATCTTTAATAAGCAAAAACCGCAGTCAGGAGAAAATGTTTATTTCTTTACACTAACCCTGAGCAATTGCAATATATGTAGACTTAAATTTCCAAGAAGGCAATGTGAACTCTGAACTATGAACTATCTTAAATACATTACCAAAAAAAAAATTATTATTATACTTAGTTTAATTATTTTCTGATAAATCATAATTAATTTAAGGAAAGATGAATCATGCGCTGCATTTATAAATTAAGAATTTTTAAAATGTCAGTCAAATAATTTATGCAACAACATGCACCGTCAAAAAAAGCCACTGATCCTCGCTTCTTGTTCTCAAAACACTTTTTTTCCCTTTATCGTCTTGATGGAGAAACAAAGTCGCTGTAATATTCCTGGAATTGATGCCATCTGGTAGCGTTTTCATTATTATCCTTTTTGTAGAATAGATTTATCTTTAAAAGGTCGTGATTGTAATAATTTAAAATTCATTGTATAATAAATTAAGAATTTATACCAAATATGATAATAAGTCTCATGAAATGTAATATGAATCATTAAATCTCCAATAAGTATTAATTAAATATACAGGTTTATTTATTTTAATCCATATCCATGAAATAAAATTTTACATAATTCAAGTTACTGTACATCATTGGATAATTATGTTTAGAGCAATAACAAAGTCACAATGGCATGATCTGTTTTTATCCATATTCATAGTAACATAATAATTCATAACGATATTATGATTTCACTCATTATGTTAAGTTCATTTAAAACAATAAAAAGTCAGTCCTGTGCATAATGCAAAAGATCTATGTTGTATATTATATTCAATGTTCATGAAGCCTTTTAAAATGTTTAACATTATAGTACTGTATACTAAGATCTGTTTTTAACCATACAGTACCTTAATTGTACATTTATATTACTGTATACTGTATTATCCACAATGATGAATGTTCAATTAGCAAAAATAAGTCTGAGAGAAGATATGCAAAAATAATAACCTACCCTACATTCACAGTATGTGGCAGAAGCCATTTTGTATGTGAATGCATTATTTTTTTGTTTATTTGCCTTGACATTTCACTCTTTACCTTAAGCATGTACAAGCTTAACTACTATACTGTACAAGATGGCTTATTCAAATTACTCATGATGGTAATAATATTTTGAATGTCAATTAAGAGTACATTAAGTCATGTTCTAAAAATAAATCATGCAAATGTTTTTAAATTATTTATGAAATGAATACAAATTATTTTGCTCATAAAACCGGGTATTGCTAAACCCCGCATACCTCCAAAAAATTACCATAAACCCCATCCAAACCTTGTGATAATGATTGAATCACATAGTATAGGACTCAATTTGGTATCTCAATAAAAAAAAATCATAATTTTATGTTCGTCACAACCTATTTTTGGGGTAAAAAGGCCATTTTTTGTATAAAAAAATTGCCAAACCCTGCAAACCCCCAAAAACACAGTGCAAACCCCATCCAAACCTTGTGATAGTGATTGAATCATGTAGTAAGGACTTAACTTGGTATCTTGGTAAATAAAAATACAATTTTAGGTATATAACAACCTATTTTGGGGTAAAATCTTGATTTTTTGTTAAAAATACCTTAAAAAAAAATTTTTTTAAATGGCATTTTTACTCAAAAAATAGGCTGTGACGAATTTTTTGAAAATGATAATAATTACTCATACAACGAAGACAAATAAGGTTTGTGCTACGATCTAGGCAGCTACGTAGCTTCAATTGGCCGATGTTATAGTAATTAGGCCTAGCTAAATTACCAAATAACTATGCCTAGGCTACAGTAGGTGGCTAGCCCTACCTAGGCACCCCTTGTCGAAAAAGTCAAGAAAATTCACACACACAATCGTAAGTACTGTAGGATAGAACTTGCCAAAAATAAATATTGTACAAACAAATCTGTTATGTACCTTTGTTTGACAACGTACGTAAAATTTAGTTTCTGTTATGGCCAGTTTCAGTCAAAGTTTTGGCTTGCAACCCATTCATACAGTCATTGAAGCTAAGAAATCCTAGGCTGGCAAAAAATTGCAATTCTTTGCTGTGGAAATTCATGGGCTGCATATATAAATGATCCTAAATGTCTCATTGTTTAAAAAAGATGTACTGACTCAATTGTAGACTTTCTTTTATGTACAAGCCAAAACGGTGACATAAACTGAAACCGAATACCGTGCAGAGATTTAAATAATGGATCAAAGTTTTTGAAGGGGTGGTGCTTAACAAGTATATTTTTTTATTTGGCCTTATTATTATTAATGTATGAGGATGAAAAGGTATAATAATGTCTATCCAGCATCTTCCAATTTTGATCCCTTGGTTTCAAACTGCGCCAGAAATACCCATCATTTTGAAAAAATAAATTAATCATTAGTTATCATTAGCTGTATAGAGCAAGATATAAAAACCTACATATTATTATTATTGTGAAAAAAAATCGAACTCGTACTATAAAGTAAATAATATTAATTATAAGTCAATCGTGACGTCATCACTGTAACTCCCAACGTTATTTGCCTATTCATCCACAAATTTTTCTATTAGTGGACGCTTGGCTTGATTTTTTTTTTAGGTTCGTGTGCCAAAAAATTTCTCATTTTTTCATCACCGCGAATACATCGCGCAACGCAATAAAAATTGAATTGTAATTGAAAATTACTTTCATAAAACAAGCTTAATTAAAACCCGAAGAAAGTTACTTCAAATTCAATATTAAGTATGAACAATTAAGGAATTCATTGAATCAATGGACCCTCATAAACACAACAAACTGAACGTTTAATAGGAATATTCTACATATTTTAAAAACTCAAGGACCAACATTTAGATGTAGGTCTACGGCCAGGCAGGAGGCCGCCTGGTCCTCCTCCTACTACTACTAGGCTGTAGCCTAGCCTAGTTATGAAATCATCGCACGATTTTACCTGTCTGCATGCTCCGACGAAAAAGGATGTCAGTGACTGTATTCTCTCTCGAATGCTGAAATGTTTATTTCTTTGATGAAAGTCTATCAAAATAGCATTACAAACAAGTTCTTTCTAACGCATTTCCAAAAATCTTGTGGTAATTTAATATTAGATGGATTATCCTTTATTTTTATGATTATGAATTTTTCTTCCAAATGTTTTGTATAAATTTGAATGAAATTTATTTTATTTTATTTTATTTATTTATTTTTTTAATATTTTTATTTTATTTGGCTTTACACTGGCAACAGTACAAAAATATATACAGTATATAAATATAAATAGAAATTCCAGTGAGAGAGCGTATCAACAGGTGCAAGCACCTCTAACACGACACGCTCTCCAAATTCACAAAACCCAACAGCAAATACATAAAATTATAATTCGAAAAGAAAAAAATTACACAGTTCTACATAAATGACAAAAACATTTAGTAACCCAAGTGCAAGTGCTAGCAGGGTCAAACTTGTTGACAAACAGAAGCTCATAAAATATGCGTAAGGCTCGCTTAAAACCAGATATTGTCAAGTTTGAACGTATGGGGTGAGGGAGTTGGTTCCACATAGGAGCAATACGATTGAAGTAGAATCTTCTGTTAAGTTTCGGTTTTGCAACGTGAGGTGAGGGATTCATTAAGAACAAAAACATTTTTAAAATCCAAGTCAAAATAGCCAAAGAAACATTTTAAAAAAAACAAAAGATCAATTAAGTCCCTTCGAAAGGAAAGAGGAAGTTATTATTATTATTATTGTATACTTATATAGCGCATATCAAACTTCTCTATGCGCTGAACATTATTACCCCGGATCACTGGATCAAGCACATATGGAAC